ACGAACTTGTTAAATACGCCGTCACTATTCTGCATCTAACCCCCTTGTTTCTCGTTGGCACAGGGAATTTCTTCATGAATTCTGGCGTCAATCAAGGGATCCTACCCCGCAGCAGGTAGATACCCTTCTTAGACAAGGTGCGGGAAATGGAATGCCCGATTTCATTTCTTGGTTCAAACGGAAGGTACCGTCCAATTTAGCTCGTACTTAGTTTGACATTCCAAGTTACTCGTACGTGCGAATAATATAACGATGTATCCTGCTTGAGCTTGCAGGGCCAAAGGGATGCGTCTATGCGTGCTGAGTTGAGACATGTTACCGATGGCTTTGCCTATAGGGTTAGGTCATTTTTCGGTTATGACGTGAATGGATATCACTTTCGCACAACAAGCTACGAGCAGAGTCAGCCCAATCGAAGAACCACAAGTTCTAGAGTTTTTACGCCCGGCGTTGATGAGGTCGAGTATTATGGAAGAATTAAAGAAATATACGAACTCAAGTTTCATGGTTCTAAACCTTTTAATCCCGTCATATTTAAATGCCATTGGTTTGATCCTGAAGTAATGAGTGGTCTAGTCGAAATTCGACAGGATTCCGTCTTACCAGGAGACGATGTCTATATTGTGGCCCAACAGGCCATGCAAGTTTATTATCTCCCATATCCGTGTCAAACCAAAAGTCATCTTAAGGGTTGGGATATTGTGCACAGGGTATCGCCACACGGTAAAGTGCCTATCCCAAACGATGAAGATTACAACTTAGACCCAAACACATATGACGGAGAGTTCTTTCAAGAAGAGGAGGTTTAAGATAGACTTAACCAAAGCGATCGGAATGGAAGTAGATAATGAAACGGTTATTGAAGAGGACGCTGTAGATGAGGTGCAAAATGTGAAGGACTTACAAATGCTTGAGTGATTACATTTAGACAATGACAATGGCAACATTGCTCATTCGGATAGTGTTGATTATTTTGACATGATTGATAGTGATGATGAGACTTATGATCCAGCTAATCCCGATCGTGAAGATTATTTCTAATCCATGTAATACTATGCTATTTTGTAATTACGTTTTGTTTATTTTGCATCTCTTTCTAAGTACTTCTTGTTTATCTGTGCATATTGGTTTACTCTTTTTAATTGCAGGTGATTGAACAAAGATGGTGGGTAGTGGGATGAGGAGGCTAGGTGATGATACTTGTGGTTGTTAATGGTACTTCTATTTGCAATTGTGGTTGTAGATGATGGAGCACTTGGATTACTTGTGAACTTATTTGTGATGTATTGTGAGACATGTGACGTTTGTGATATATATGTGGTGTTGGATATCTGTGCTGTTGATGATATATATGTGATGTTGGTTATATATATCTTCTGTTTGTTTGGATGGAATGTAAAAAACAAATAAAAAACTGTTTTCAGTCACTTTGCCGAGTGCAATGGCCATGACACTCGGCAAAGTGACGACCTGAGAACATGCCTGGGAACATGCTTTGCCGAGTGCACAAGCCATTGCACTCGGCAAAGATCACAGATTTGCCGAGTGCCACGGGCTAGGCACTCGGCAAAGGTCGCCTGTTTGCCGAGTGTCTTGCCGGTGGCACTCGGCAAAGTGGACACCTTTGCCGAGTGTTTGAGTCAACGACGCTCGGCAAAGAGGAGACCTTTGCCGAGTGCTTGACCTTGACACTCGGCAAAGCCACCGTCACAGTGGCGCTCGCTGTCACGGCAACTTTTCTTTGCCGAGTGCCCGATAAAGTGCACTCGGCAAAGAGGTCTTTGCCGATCAACTATTTACCGAGCGCCCTTTGCCAAGTGTAACACTCGGCAAACCATTTGCCGAGTGTATATCAGCCTTTGCCGAGTGCCTGAGGCACTCGGCAAAGAAGCCGCCTCCGGTAGTGTATCCAAAAGCTTTAATATATCTCTCCACAAAAAAGATCCCTTCTTTGTATGACCAGACAATTCACCCGTTGCTATAGTTCTTTTCCCATACTAAGTGGACCCACGGGATATCCTCCTTATTAAAATATTTATGAAGATTTTTTTGTAAGGAGTGCTTCATTTCTGTTCTTAAGTTAATGCCACACAAATGTCCCTCATCTTTGGGTTTGCATGGCATTGTCATGCTGCTTTTTGGGGATTTTTTTTGCATTGATGTTAAATCCCCTCCACAAGCAATGCTTTCTATATTTATCTACTTGCTCAAGCACCATTGTAGATGCATTCTTAAGGTGCATAAAGTAAAAGGTGTTGGGAGCAATGAAGACTAAGTTAGTGAGCTCCATAAGACCAACTTGAGAAAGAACAGTTGAGGTACTGACAAGTCTACATTCACATTTGTGACTAATGGCACGAAATCCTCAACCTTTGGCTTGTTGGTCTCTAATAAAGGTAATCCCAGGTAAGAAAAGGCAAAGAGCCCTTGGGACAACCAAATGTGTTAGCATAGACGTGGTGTCGAGGCTAGGGGTTACCTTTGTTTGCCTCATACTCCATGGGTTCAGGTATAGAGTAGAGTATAGGCTGGATTGGACTTAGCAACCACTAAGTCAAAGGTCGGTGCTCAAAGTAAGCAAGTAAATTAAGTGTGATCCTTATCGTTAACTTAGTTCTATCCCATAGTTGTCCTCTCTACCAACACCTATCATTTTTTTCTCCTTGGATGTAACTAGGACCTTTATTTGATAAACACACACGTTCCCTATGGATTCGATAAAACCTTAGAATACTCCTAGGTGAAAGCTACAACGGCATCCATACGCTTGTGGATTTCTTTGTGGGTGTTAAGATACCCAACAAGTTTTGTGGCGCCTTTGTCGGGGAACAGTTGTTGTTTTATCTCTGGACCTATTTCATCCTCGTATCTATTTCCTAATTTTGCTATCTTCGCTTTCTCTAACCTTTTCTATTGGGCATCAAAATTCTATTCAAAACCTTTTTGCTCCAAAGGTCGAGTTCTACGAACCACTACCCTCTTCAAAACCTGTTTTATCATCTAGTTATGAACTCCGCTCTGCTTTCGTAGCAATGGTGTGGTAGCAACTCTTCTCAGGGTTGGACCATGAAAATCCTCACCACCACCCACGAGAGTCTAAGCAAATGTGTTCATGCCTGCTCATTCTAGGCATGACACAACAAACATTAAAGTGGAAATTATTTTCATTCTCTCTTTCTGAGAGGGCGAAACAATGGTATGCTCATACCGTTGAAGCGTTAACGGTACTTGGGATAAACTTCAGAACAATTTTGTCTTGACTTCTTCCTAATAGAGCGAGTCGCTGACCTCCAAATAGAGGGGCTCTCCTTTCGACAGACTAAGAACGAGTCTATAGGAACTACCTGAACAAGGTTTTCCATGTTGATTAATTTTGTCCCAAACTTGTCTATACCCGACTGTGTACTTTTGCTACATTTTTTGTTGGGTCATAGCAAGGAATCTGCCCTATACTTGGATTTAGACGGTGGAGGTTCATTCTCTCACAAAGACACAATGGAAGGAAGACAAATTCTAAACCACTTTCTTGAAAACAATCACTATGCCGATTATCTTAGCAAACAATTCAGGGCTATCCTAAAACTAGAGGAAACCTCAACAACTGAGCCTAAACCTTTAGATTCTTTTGTTGAGCCCTCTCCCGAACCATTGCTAAACCCACAACTTTTGGAGGATGAAGAAATTCAACCTTTGAAGCTTCCTTTTAGTCTTGCACCCAAAACAGAGCCCTTAGAAAAGTCCTTTCTGGAAACAAAGGTGAAGGACTTAACTTCAATTCTTAGTGACCAATGGTTTAGGGAAACAAAGCTTTCTCCTGTGTTTCAATTGTGTACACCTTTCTCAACTATTTCTTTCACTAACAAATCCTTTCTCAAAGAAGCCCTCTGTAACCCCACTTTTGGCTTAAACATAATGTCAGCCCTGCTAGCATCTAGACTTTTCTTCAAGAGTCGCTCTGGATTTCTTTTAGAATGCAAGGGTGTTCTTTGCAAGAACTCTATCCGACTTGATGCTATTGAGGTGCTCCTTGATTTTCATATTTTTGAAATTCCCGACTTTGATATCATATGATAGGACATCCCAACGAGAAACTTCTTACCAAATCAAACAAAGTTTAAAGATTAAAATGCAATATGATAGTTCATAGAAGGATTTGAGCCCAAAATACAAAGATTATAGGATTAATGATCACTTTGATATAGTTCTATGTTAAAACTGAGCCTAAAAGGGAAAAAATGAGAATTAAAGTGGCCATTTTAAAGGTTTAGGGACCAAACTAAGTCTTTGTCTCTCAGATGATTGTTGTAGGACGAGAAGGACTATTCTGCCATTTCCAAATGGCACAACTGTCCATGTATTTATAAGATACTTCCTCAACAGGGAATAAATCGCGCGCCGCCCTCCCAGCGATCAGACTACTGTGCACCAATGTTCTCTTACTGTTTCCCGCTGTTTTAAATAGCAATCGGACCACTGTTTCCCACTTTTAAACACTGTTATAAGTGCTGTTTCTTCTTGTTCACGGACAATGTTCATCACCGATATATATACCGGCGCAGCAGAGCGCGCCTGATTGGGCTAGTTTATCCATCAGCTACTTTGTCCTCGTTGAAATTTCTTTTCGGTTGGAATAGATTTGTTGTATTTCGAATCAAATGGCTCAAGAATTACTTTAAAAAATACAATACAAGCTGCCATATAAGTTGTTGGCCGTTATATTAAGCTAGCACATGCATTATTTTCATGTGAATGGATCAGCCACTTTGTCCTTGTCGAAATTCCTTTTCGGTTGGAATAGTTTTGTTGTATCCCATCAAATGGCTCAAGAAGTACTTAAAGTGTACATTAAAAAGTAGAGTACAAGTTGTCGTACAAGCTGTTGGCCGCTATTAAGCTAGCATATGCATTATTTTCACGTGAATGGACACAGTAAATATAACGTCGAGTCGCTGCTTAAATATAGCCCTACAAGCTCAGCTTCTTTAGGTCAGGCAAAAGCCATGGCGAGAAGCAGTGCCCATTCGGCCTCCGTCCTTCATGACATCCATCAAAGACAGCGAGCCGATGGCCCCGCGGCCATGCTGGGCATCGGCACGGCAAACCCGACGAACTGCGTGCTACAAGACCAGTTCGCCGACTGGTTCTTCCGCGTCACCAAGAGCGAGCACCTCGCCGAGCTCAAGGCCAAGACGAAGAAGATTTGTGAGAATTTACTTCTGTTTAATTGACGGAAACATCCCACGGAAAGAACCAGAAAACTGTTTGACGTAATCACAATATATATGATTATATTCTCGCCTCGCACGCAGGTGACAAATCAGGCATCACGAAGCGCTATTTCTACCACACCGAGGAGATCATCAGCGGCCACCCGGAGTTGATCGACGGCGCGCTGCCGTCGCTCACAACGCGGCTGGGCATCATCGAGGACGCTTCGCCCAAGCTCGCAGCGGAGGCAGCAACAAAGGGCGATCGCGGACTGGGGCCGGCCGGCGGCCGGCATCACGCACCTCGTGGTGGCCACCAACTCCGGCGCCAGCGAACCTGGCGCCGACCTGCGCCTTGCGGGGCTGCTGGGCCTCCGCCCGACCGTGCGCCGCACCCTGCTGTACCTCCACGGCTGCTCCGCCGGTCTCGTCGCGCTCCGCGTCGCCAAGGACATCGCTGAGAACAACCGCGGCGCCCGCGTGCTCGTGGCCTGTGCTCAGGCCGAACTCTTGTTGTTCTGCCCCCCGGACGAATCCCGCCTCGACGTTGTCATCGCCATGACCCTGTTCAGCGACGGCGCTGGCGCTGTCATCGTCGGCGCCGACCCGGCAAGCAGCCCCATGGCCATGGAGCGCCCCATCTTCCACATGGTATCTGCCTCGCAGACGACGTTGCCCGGCACAGACCAGGCAGTGGTAATGAATCTCAGAGAGAACGGCCTCCTCGACAGTCACTTGTCCGTCGAGGTGCCCACACTTGTCCAAGGCAGCATAAACAAGTGCTTAGCTGACACGCTGGCACCACTAGGCCTCTTGAACGCGAGCGACGGTGGCTGGAATGGGCTCTTCTGGGCGCTGCACCCAGGCGGCCATGCGATCTTGGACAGCTACGAAGCCGCTCTCGGTCTGGAGCCGGGGAAGCTTGCGGCCAGCCGGCACGTGCTAAGTGAGTACGGCAACATGATGGGCGCGACGATCATCTTTGTTCTCGACGAGATACGGCGGCGCCGCCGCCGCTGCCACGATGATAGGAAGGATTGCCAGTGGGGTGTCATGTCGGGGCTCGGCCCCGGACTCACAATCGAGACAATTGTGTTGCATGTCACCGACAGCCAGGACGAAAACTAGTGCTTTATTTAGTGGATTACTATAAGACTCTGCCACACGATTAGCCTACATATATGCTGGGCGATGACTTGAAAAGCAGCCAAGCTTGCAAAAAGAGGGTTTCTTGTTTGCCCGGAGGTGCATGGAGGTTGGAGGGTATATGTAATAAGTTTATCACATCATTGTTACACCGAATTGACAAATGCTATACTACACTCGGTTGTTTTGGCGCTCTGTGGCACTCGATTTTCAGGCGGCTGGATCAAGGATCGGTTGGTCACGCACCCGCCCGTCCTCGCTCTCTGTCGGTTGGTACACGTACGTACCGTGCACCCGCCCGCACTTGATTAATACACGTACGTACCATATACACATGACGCGGAATACACGTAGGTACCGTCGCCGCCTCATCCATGATGAATGTGCACTGTTTGGATCAACATATATTAATTTGTTAATTGTGTTTGTGTTATAATATATTTTTTTTCAATTGACCGTCATGAGCTACCGGCAGAAGCCGGCTTAGGAATCTGTCAGGGACCCAAAGCCTGACAGTCACGGAGATGTTGCACCATCTGCCCATTCAACGACCGTGAGGCGCTGTCAGCCAGTCCCTCGACAGGGTCACATAACGGCGTGGCGTGGCGTCGAGACAAGGAGCTCCCAAGCTCCAAGGGCGGAGGGCTCCAGACCCGATCGTCAGCCCCTCTAGGCGGGGAGGCCTTGCGCACCAAGGAAGCCTTGAGAAGGCTCACCCCTGGGGAGACCGCATAGTGGCAAACATCCCCGATGGTCAAGCGACGGACTATGGCAACACCGTTAGTGAGTGGGTGCGATGTTATTAGCCCCTTCCTATGCACGACAAAGGAAGCACCAAACGAAGCCGAGACAAAGGATGGTGAGCACCCACGTAGAAGCCTTGGGCGAGCCGAAAGCCCGAAACCGATTTGTAACCATGCCCTCCTCACAATATAAGGGGACGCATGTGATACTTAGAAGGGGATCGGCTCATGGAACCGCTCATCCAAACTCGATAGCCAAGAACCATATGATAGGACCACGTAATCCCCTACCAATCTATCTCGATTCCACTATTGCAATCCCAGTTGGGCTTTCCTAACATGAAGAACACCATCTGCTAGAGATAAGGCTCAGAACCCCAAACCAGGATAAATAGATTTGTGTCCCTTGTGCCGATCTCCGACGAACAACCCTGATGGTTGCCATGGTTCTGAACCGGTGATATTCAACCGACCACCCTTGTACGTCGCCCAACCACCCTCTTTCCCGCAGATGACTCCCATCACCACCTCTCCACAGTCAACATGCAACCAAACACAACTTTGTCTCATCGCCACCATCCATTTTATGATGGTTTTATCCAAGGGAGGAGGATGGAGAGCATATGGATCCATGGGCCACACCAAAAGTGCTATAGATACCCTCGTACTCCCCTCACTCTCATTAATGACCACAAGGAGGAGCTACACACTCTATACATGGGTGAAGCGCTGCTCTAGCAGTAGTAGTATACAAAATAGGGAGAGAGTGAGGGGAGTGTGGAGAAAGGTCCCGATCTATCGATGTCTTCTCCAAGATGTACCTCGGTAGATGCAATCTTATTGTAAGTAAATATCCGAGACTCTTTATGGTAATTTTGATATCTGATTCTCGTGAATTGATGTATACTTGTTTTGTCATTGGTACGCCGCTTTACTATGCTAGAGTGCTCTAGTCTCGCTAAGGGAACTTAGTGGCGCAAGGTTAGAGTAGTCAGTAATAGAGTAAACATGATGTCTAGACTATACCTTGCCTGTGTATACTACTTGCCGCACAAATTGTCTGTAGTAGCTAATAGGTGGTGACAGCCCTATATAGCCTTTGTATTCTCACAAGTGTTCTTAGGCAAGTTATTAAAATAGTAGGGCCCCATAAAAAGTTAGGCGGTTCAGGCAATGGCTTTGTCCTCTTGCTGTGGACTCTTTCGCTCCATGAGCAAGGGCATGGTAAATGCCTTTGTACCTATCTTACTGTAGACAAAATATCTTGGCAGTCCTCCGAGGGGTATCCTTGATCTGGTCGTCCTCCTTGAGGGATATCTGGTGATAGCCAGAGTGACAGTCGAGTAAGGAGAGCAGTTCGTAGCCGGTAGTGGAGTCTACAACCTCGTCTATCTGAGACAGATCGAAGGGGTCTTTAGGGCAGTGCTTGTTGAGATCAGTGTAATCAACGCACATTCTCCATTCTTTATTCTTTTTTTGAACAAGAACAGGGTTTGCTAACCACTCAGGATGATATACTTCTTTAATAAATCCGGCAGCTAGGAGCCATTTTATTTCTACCCTAATAGCCTCCTTCTTGTCTGGCGTGAATCGTCGGAGTTTCTGCTTGATTGGTTTTGGCAGTCGGCAAGACATTCAAGGAGTGCTCGATCTTCTCCCGTGGTACCCCCGGCATGTCTGTGGGTTTCCAAGCAAAGACGTCGACGTTGGCATGTAGGAAGGAGACGAGCGCGCTTTCCTATTTGGGGTCGAGGTGAGCCCCAATCTTGATGGTCTTGGAGGGGTCGTCGAGGCCGAGGCCGACCTCCTTCGTTTCCTTGGACTTGGCGAAGGCACGAGGAGGCTCTAGCGCTGTGATCTCCAGGTCATCGGCAGGCACCGTCTTGGCGTCGATGACCATGCTAGCCATCTGGATGTAGAGGTTGGTGGCTTCAACGAGGACAAGACTCTCTGTCTTGTTAGCGTAGGCAATATAGAGGTTGGCCCGCAGGGCTAGAACTCCTGCAGGCGAAGGCATCTTCAACACCAGATAGGCGTAGTGCAGTATGGCCATGAACTTGGCTAGAGCTGGCCGACCAAGTATGGCATGGTAGGCAGTGTTGAAGTCGGCGACGTAGAAGTTGATGTGCTCGACGCGGTAGTTGCTAGCCATGCCGAACTATACTAGGAGGGTGATCTCTTCCAGTGGTTTGGATGCCCTGCCAGGTACCACACCCTAGAAGGAGGAGTCAGAGGTAGTGAGGTCTTCTATTCTGAGGCCCAGCTCCTTCAGGGCACCGACGAAGAGGAGGTTCAGAGCACTTCCGCCGTCGACGAGTACTTTCCTAAAGAGCACTTTCTTGATGGTGGCGTCAAGGACAAGGGGGAAACGCCCTGTGTAAGGCATGTCCGCCCACTGGTAGGCCCTGCTGAAGGTGATGGGGACCTCAGACCAGGGGCGATAACTGGGGTTGGCGATGGCGTCTTCTATGTTGACGGCGAGCACCCGGCGGGCGGTGAGCTTTCGATCTCTTCTGCTCTCAGCGGCGGCGAGGCCCCCAAAGATAGTGGCGACCACTTTGTCGTGATCCTGGAAGGCGTTGTTGTTATCCCCATGTGGTCGACAACCTCTGGCTCCGTCTTTGTTGTCATCGTCGTTCTTCTTGGTCTGGAACTCCTTAGCCAAACCAAGGCAGTCCTTCATCTTGTGCTTACTGTTCTTGTGGAGAGGGCATGGGCTTTCGAGGATTTTCTTGTACTACTCATCGTAGTTGTGCTTGGCGCGAGGTTTGTCAACGACGGCAATGATGTGGTCTAGTCAGCAGTGGCGATATTGACCAGATTTGGACCCTTCCGGCCGATCACGGCCAATGTCCCAATGGTCACCGCGGTCGTCGTAGCGGTGGTCACTGTGGCGTCGTTCGTCGGGGCGCTTGTCGCTGCGGCGAGTTGGGCGATGAGTGCCCGCATCCTCGTTGAAGCGAACTTCAACCTCTTCGGCGTCGGTGTACTGATCGACGGTCGTGATCATCCCGCCAATCCTCTTTGGCAGCTTACGGTTGAACTTGGAGCAGAGGTCGCGGTGATGGAGTCCTCGGATGAAGGCGGTGATGACTTCTGCTTCTGTGATGTTGGGGATAGAGTTCCTCATCTCAAAAAAACGGCTGATGTAGCTACGGAGGAGCTCGAACGGTTTCTGATAGATACGATTCAAATGATGCCTGGTGTCCAGCCGAGTACATGTAGCCAAGTAGTTGTTGGTGAAGACCTTCTTCTACTGTTCCTTGGATCCGATGGAGTCCAGGGCGAGGCTTGTGAGCCAGTTCATCATAGTTGGCGTGAGCATGACGGGAAGATATTTTGCCATGACACTGGTATCTCCCCTGGCGGTGTACACAGTGGTGGCATAAGCTTGTAGCCACTGTGTGGGGTTCATACGCCCCTCGTAGGGCTCGACCATGATGATTTTGAAACCACGGGGCCACTGGAGTGTTCGGAGTGCCCTTATAAATGCTCGGGGCCCTTCGGGATCGTCACCGTCGTGATCAGCGGCATTGCCGGCGTTGAGTGGCTGGAGGGCTGTGTCTGGGTTACTGAACTCTTGCTCGTATTCCTGACGCTGGCGTACTTCTTCATGGCGAGAGAAATGGCGCCCGTCGATATGACGTTGCGTGTCCTAGAGATTGTTGATGTGCGCTCGGGCATCTTGGTCGACTTCTTGGTCGTGTTGGAGAGGGTAGTCAATGCGGTTCCCCCTAGCTCCCCCTGGAGGGGTCGTCCATCATCATGATGCTGGTCGGCGAAACAGCTTCTGTTGGGGCAGCAATTAGATCTTGGCGCGGTAGATCAGCGAATCGAGCTTGTCGAGTAAGAAGGTCTCTGATCCTGGTGGATCTCATTAACCTGACGATGCGCCACTTTAAGCATGGCGGCGACATTGGCGACCTCTGGCGTTTGCTCGAGCTGAGCGAGCTCATTAGCAGCCACGACCAGGTTGGCGCTTGGAGTCTTGTAGACATCATGGCTGTCGACACGGAAAAACTCATCGTCGAGGTTGCGGCGAAGTGGGAGTAGCCCCCGTTGCGAGTCGAGCTATTCCCCGTTGCGAGCAGCCTCGGCTAACACAATGGCGGCCTCATTTACTCGGCGCTGCGCACGGTTGGCGTTTCTGTTGACGCGAGCTGTGCGGTCCTCCTCGGTTTCTCCATCCCGTGGAGGGCTGTCGACGCTGACATTAAAAATCCTGCCCCCTCGGAAGGG